CCCCATAACTTAGTCAGACAATACACGTCATTATCATAGTTACCTCATTCCACCCTCAACTCCCCCTCCCCCCCCGTGTCATCACTTCAACCCCGTCAACCCTTTCCTTACGCCCCAACTATCTCCCCTTTTCCCTACCCCCCCCACCCTATCTCCACCCCTCTCCCTGTTACCTCCTTCCCCGTTCCACTCTCTTCCCCTATTCCATCTACCTTATCCCCATCTCTGTTACCCCCCCCCCCCCTCGCTCCACCTTTCCCTGCCTCCCTCAATCGCGCCCCATTCCTATCCCCTATCACCTTACCGCCCTCTCTTCACTTCCTCCTACTCCTCCCCATCGCCATGACCTCTTAACTTCTCCCCTTCCCCCCACCCCCCACCCCTCCTTAACACCTGCCTTATCCCCTGCCCAAAAACCCACCCCGCAGTCTCCTCTCCCCAGCCTCTCTCCCCCTCTCCCCACCTCCTTCCCCCACTCCCTCCTCTCCCCCTCTCCCCCTCCTCCCCGACCTCCCTCCTTCTTTCCCCTGCCTACCCCCCCTCCCCCCTCCCCCCATTCGCCATTCTCCCTCCCAGCTTCACGTCTCGTAGCTATCATCGTGACCACAAAGCCGCCGCCGAAGGTAGGAGATTACGCCAGAAAGGTCTTACGCGACTACAATGGGAGTTGTAGAGGGGTTGGGTAAACAATAAAGAAAGAATGGCAAGGAAAGACAAGGACAAAAAAACAAAAAACAAAAAAAAAAAAACAGTTCAGTGATTCCTTCTCAATCTATATTTCATGTGTGGTCAGTGATATGAAAGTCACGTGGTTTGGGGCCGTGGGGAGAAGGGGAAGCTATGATTTATGCAAAACGAAGGGGGGGGGGGTAGAGAACGGGGGGATAGGGGAGGGGGAAAGGGAAGGAGGAGAGGGAGAGGAAAGGGAAAAAGAAAAGGAGAAGGGGAAGGGGGAGAAGGGTAGGAGAAGAGGGAATGGAATAGACGACGGCTGAGAAAGGAAGGACAATGGGGGAGAAAATGTGATGATGCAAAAAAGAAAGAAGGAGAAAAGAGAAAGGA